ATTCCTTTGGATTTTGTTTGGGGGAGCTGGTGCTGGAAGATTGCCAGCAGGAGGTCTTTTATTAGTTGGGTCATTAGGACGTGGCCTATTCATATAATTTATGTTGCGTGTGATGTCCATTGGTTCTGGACGTGGCTGTGGCTTTTGCAAAGGACGTGGTGGTGGATTGTTTGGCTGCTGACCATAATAATTAAGGGCTAACTATAATATGAATAAGCTGCCGTAACTGACTGTCAGTAAATGAACGAAAAGTCTGTCAAATGCATAAGCAACGTAGTGTAGACTTTTAGGTGGCTATATTTTACTTACTTGAGTTCAGTGTTGCCACATTTAGTTAGATATAATGATAGCCACTATCAAGCAGTTTGTTGTAGATCAAACAATTATAGTAACCTAGAAACGCCGAAGAACTGTTCGCCTTGCGAAACTTTCAGGATAACCTGGTGTTTCTGTAAAAGGAAATGCTTACGGCCCACTTCCTAATGTGGAACCAGAATTTTTTTAACCTATGTTACATGTAGGACGAATCGAAAAAGTTACCAAGTTGAAAAATAAGTTACCAAATTACCAAATATGAAAAATAAAGAAAAAAATTACCAATTTCGTTAAAAAAAAGCCAATGCGGCAACACTGCATGTGTTACATATGTACATACTAAACTGCTGCAGGAATGCATTTGTTTGCAGCTTCAAAACATTCTCTTGATGTTAGAATAGCCGCTCTCTTTCATTCTATGTTAGCGAACATGAATTAGAATGTTATCGAAGAGTAATAGAATGGAGTGGAGTATTCTCTCTTAATAGAATATTCATATTCTCAACATTTGCAACGGAAGGTACAGTATTTGAGAATACTCTAATATACTCGTATGTACAATTAAATATACATACATATACATATATAATTTTGTATGACGCTGTTACTAGACTGTTGAAGTGAATTTAGTCCACATTAAAATTGAAAATTCAGTAATAGTAAATGGGCTTTATTTTAAAGTTATGACAAATAGACATAACTTATGCACATACATACATATGTGCATATATCTTAAATTAAAACAAAATGAAAGGAAAATATTTATTTAAACTAAAACTTAACTTGGAATTCATTTGGATCACTTAAAACATACATACACCCACCAGAATATGTTTCCGTGCAGTGTTTTTTTTTTTTTTAATATTTACAAAGTTTCGCGTAATAAATTTTTTTCGTTAATTTTTAGTAGAAATATAGTTCATTCTGCATCAAAAAGCATATAAGTTAATGTTTAAAAGTTTTTACATAATTTAGGAAAATTAGACAAATTTTCACCAACATTTTAAACTTTTAAACAAAATTTTTTAGAATTTTGTTTGAGTATGCAGTTTTGTGGATCACTCAATTTCAGTACAATAAAGTGCAAGTTTTAAGTGGCTATAAGCTACCATTTATTTTGGAAATTTTTTTTTTTGCTGATGATGTTGCTCATTTTCTCCATATAATGAGTACCTGATAGTTTTTTTGTATGGGAAAACATGCCGCAGAGCGTCAGTAAAAAAATTCTCCAAAATCAACGGTAGTTTATTT